TGGTGATGAGTCATCAAGTTCATACCTACCCCTACCACTTTCAACAGCTCCAGAGGGTCCTATTTCTCAACCGCGGACCATTCTGGACACCCGCATCGTCTCCTCTCACGACACTCCAGTTACTGAAGTATTGGTGGCCTGGGATGGCTCCCTCGAACCCAGTTGGGAAGATTATGAGGTCATGCGGACTCAGTACCCGTCCTTGGGCCTTGCGGACAAGTCCCTATTTAAAGAGGGTGGTGATGTAACGGACGCAAGAGGAATGGACCCAGAATATGGAAGCCTAGAGGTGAAGACAAAGCCCAATCCGGTTAGAAGAAGCCATCGGATCAGGAAAAAGCATTGGAAGCTGAGGGACCTAGAGGGCATTGCAGGATAAATACGACAAAGTTAGTTAGAATAGGTGTGGAATGATTTGGATTGTCTCTCTCTCTCTCTCGCGAATCTCGTTCTGGCCTCTTCCCCGTTCTTTTGTGATTCTGTTACTGTAATGCTCTCATCCCTTCTGAATAAGCTCTGTAACCATGATATCCATTAATATAAGCATTGAGAGCTGGTTATATCGATCAATTCGTGTAGTTCTAAATTTAAATGTGACAGTGATTGTCTGTGACAGTGCTCTGTACACCGATAAGGAGCAATCTGCTGCTACGGAAACCAACTGGAAAAGATTTCACTCGCAACGCATAGCAACCTGCCCATGCATGGTCTATTATTGATTGCAATGATCTTGCATGATCCTGACATGAAAGAACTTTAGAGAAAAGAGTTAAAAGGTTATATTGAAGCATGGGTGATGAATTGAAGGAGTTATACCTTAATGATCCCGACATGAAAGCAAAGGGACAAGATAGATGTAAAGAGTCTAAGAGTATATAACAGGAATGCCTAACTTGTGTATGGCCTTTTTTATAAATAAGAAATAGCTTATATGTAACTTCAATGACAAGCCAAGCCAAGAGAAGGAGAAAAATGTACAAATAGATATATATCATTCCTTGTAACTTATTTGACAATCAATATAATGGCATATTCATTTAGTTCATTTGTATTGACTTAATTTTAGTGGTAAATGAAGGCTGTTATCTCATTTATGTGTATTGGCTCTTTTCTTTTTCCTTTTTTTTTGGGGTAAAGAAGGCTTTGCTATAAATTGACAAGTAAAAGTGTTTGTATTAAGAAGTTAACATGCTGGAATTGACAATTGAGGACACCAACTTTAATTTATATTAGATTTTTAGCAGCAAGAAAATTAACAACTAAGAGTACTTTCATTGATCGGTTAAGGTGCTCACATTGAGAAGTAAGGGTGCCATAATTGACAACTCTTTTTATATCAGAAGGAGATAGTCAAATAAAAGGAGATAAGTAATATATTTACATCCAAGCCAATGACAAGTCACTTCCTCTGCATTAATATATTTTAGTTAAAATATGATATAAAATTGTCATTAAAAGTCAATTATTATTGATGTAACATTATAAAATCACTTATTATTAACCACACATTCACTTGTTAATGGTGACAATACAATTTCTCAATGATGGCACTTTCACTTAACAATTTATCTATTGATATAAGTTAAAAAAATGTGATTTCAAGTTATACATAATATCTTATGATATCATCAATTTCTCTACACTAATATATTTTGGTTATAATGTCATATAAAATTGTTACTGAAGGCCAATTATTAGTGACATAAAATTGTAAAATCACTTGTCATTAGTTACACTTTCACGTGTTAATAGTTGTATTATTACTTGTTAATAGTGGCAGTATAACTTATCAATGATAGCATTGTCATTAATAACATCATAACTTGTTAATAGTGGTAGGGTGACTTGTTAACGATATCACTGTCCCTTGTCAATTTATATGTTTATATGAATATGCTTATGTATGTCATTTAATTAACATAAATTTCAATAATACGTTCTGGTTATAACGTGTTATAATAATATAAAATAATTATATTTTAAGTTAAGTATAATTAAATTGAAATTATGAAATTAATAACACCTTTAGCTGTTAATGTTTCTTATGAGTTCGTATTTTATTATGATTTTTTAATCTTATTTGAGGATTTTATCATATTTATTGGGCTTAATTGCACTTATTATGATTAATTTGAATTAAATGTAATTTGATGAAAATACTACTAAAAAGAGCAAAAATATCATATTTTTATGATTTATTTTAACTGAATGATTTTTAGAATATTTGATATTATATTATCTTGGATTTCATTGCAGGAAAATTAAATGTTTTTTTTTTGTTGTGAAGAAGGAATCATATGCGGAAGAAAGATGAACTGAAAGCGCAAGTTAGAATGATGATTTCGCAACTCACAAATCATTTGGACAAGCTTGAATTCATAGATGTGCCGCAAAAGCTGGGAGTGTCTCACCATTTCGTCCATGAAATAAGAAACATGCTGCAAGAAGTGTCCGCCAAGAGTTCTAAAGGCAGATTTAAAACCAAGTCTGATGACTTACACACCATTGCTCTTCAATTTAGAATCTTAAGGCAACGCGGATTTGATGTGTCATCAGGCATGTACTATAAACTAGATCCTAATTCTTTTGTTTAATAATGCTTCTAATAGGATTTCTCCTAGTGGGAAGATGCTTATTCATAGCAAAAAAAAAAAAAAAAACAAAGAAAGATAGATGCTTAAGGTGGATATGATGTGTCATCAGGTACTACTAAGTTGGAACCTAACTCTTTTATTTGCAACACCCTGACAAGGAACAAAAAACCAAACCGATAATTAAATCGGTCAAGATACTGGGTTAAGAGTTAATGGGTCAGATCGGGGTTAACCGGTAATCAAATCGGTAATAATTAAAATGTTATGTTTTAAATTATATATTAGCTATTTTAAATAGAAATTAAAATAAAGATATGAAGAAAAATGTATAAAATAAAAGTATACTCCTCCGGTCTTTAATATAGGACCCAATTCTTGAGTTGGTTTTGGTCCTAAATATAGGACCCATTCAATATATTTATCAATTTTCTCTAAATTACCCTTATGGATACTCCCTCAGCCATAATCAAGTAGAAGAATGAGATAGGGTATTAAGAAAGATGATTATGGTGTTTTAGAAAAAAATGTATTACTTTTTTTATAATTAACTAACTTACCTAACTTCCTTAATTTAATCAAATTAATTAAATGGGTCTTATATTAAGGACCGGAAGAGTATTTAAGAAATTATATATGTAGTAAATAATATGATACAAGTACTTATTAGCCAAATCCATCTATTCTTGTAGGGTGATTTTGCGTGGGACACTTGAACTGCATGGGAAATCTAATTTTTTATTCACCTCTTTCAGTTTCAAGTGTTCACATCTTTCAAGATCTGCTTCTCCGTTTGAACCACTTCACATTTTTTTTTTTTTGGGTGAAAACCACTTCACATTTTTGTATCATTTTCTTTCATTATTCAATCTTTTTATATCTTGTATGGGATGGATCAGGCATTCACGTGCTGTGGTAGCTTTCTCTCTTGTTCTCATTCTTCTCTCTATTTCAGTATTTTTTTCTTCTTCGTTCAGATGTTCCCCTCTTCTTTCTTTCGTTTTCATACCTCCATCCTCCCTTGCCTTCGTTCATATGTATTTGCAAAGCCAGGATGAAATAAATTTTATTTTTATTTATAGAGCAAACATGCAAAAACGTAGTAACTGAAGAAAACGGTCATCTTTCTTTTATTTCTGTTTTTCTTCTTCTTCAATCAATATTTTTTGTTTGTGTGCATGAAATAGTCTCAGGTTCTTCTTCTTCTTTTTCTTTCAAACAACCCGGCTAAACCATCTAAACCAACGGTTTGGCCGGTTGTGACCGGTTTGCACAGGTTCTTTCCGGTTCGATTTTCCTCCGGTTTTATTGTTAAGCCAGACTGGATTACTGACTGATTCATTGGTTTCTGGTTTGAATCAGCCAATCCGGTTTTTTAATTCATTGCACCATGTTGTAAGAAGAAAGACAGATGCCTAAAGTAAATGAGCCCCACTTGACATGAGACATTTGCCCATCTGCATAGTACACATATATCTATATCTCTTCTCGCAATATCACTATTGCAAGCAAAACTTTCTGTGTTGGTTAGGAAAGACTTTTAGTGCATAAGAGTGTGGTAATTTGTTCTAAATTTAGTTCGGTAAAACAGATAATGTAAAAATTAAACGACCTTATATTAGAATAGCCTTATAACTTAATGGCATAAAAGCTCCCATGTAAGTAGGAGGTTGCAGAGATCTTTAGTGTCTACAATATTGTAGCTGCATTGGAGAGGGAAAAAACCATACCAAATCAAACTGTACTGAGTTTTAATATTGACTAATAAATCTATAACATGCACGTATTGCTTTTTTCACAGAGATATTCAAAAGTTTTGAAGATGAGAAGGCGAATTTTGATTTGGATGATATAAAGGGGATTCTATCACTGTATGAAGCATCGTTTCATTCAATGGAAAGTGAAACTATACTTGAGGAAGCAAGAGATTTTTGCAGTAATTATCTGAAACAATTTGTGAAGAAGGAGAAGAAAGATAGTGAGATATCAGTAATGATAAGTCATGTGTTGGAGCTTCCCCTACGATGGAGGATACCCAGACTTGAAGCTCCCTGGTTCATTGACTTGTACCAAAGAAGAAATAATGTGAGCCCTGCCTTGCTTAAGCTTGCTCGTTTGGATTTGAATGTAGTCCAAGTCACCCACCAAGAAGACTTAAAATATATATCAAGGTAAAGAAAACAGAGAGGTGTTATTGATGTGAGACTGATGTTTACCACAACTATGGGAATTAAAAACTTTGTTTTTGCACCAAAAAAAAGTAAAACTACACAATCACATGCTTGCATGACTCCAAAAGGTGTATTTTATCATCATTAAAAGCTTTTGTTTTTCAATAAGAACAGAAGTAAATACTTATGGTGGTGCTTGACTTTATTATAAATTAAACAATGAAGATGGGGGAAAGAAATGAGAGATGGAGAAAAGCTGAGCTTTGTAAGGGACATACCAGCAAAAAACTTCTTTTGGGGTGTGGGAATGGCTTCCCAACCAGAGCTTTCATATTTCAGAAGAGAGATGACCAAGATCACTTCCTTCATAACGATCATAGATGATATTTATGATGTTTATGGCACATTGCAAGAACTTGAACTCTTCACTCATGTGGTCCACAAGTCAGCATATTATTCTAATTAACTACTACTCCTTTAATCCTTAGTATAGGACCTAATTGATAAGTTGACGTTGATCCTAAATGTAAGACCTATTTCAAATGTTTATCAATTTTTTCTCAAATTAATCCCATTGATATTCTCTCAACAATAATTAAATAGAAGAGGGAGGGAAATTAAGAAAGATGCTTAGGGTATTTTAAAACAAATATCACATTTACTAATTTAATTAACATCTTTAATCTATTCAAATTAGTTATTTAAGTCTTATATTAAGGATAGGAAGAGTGTGTGTGTATATACAGAGCTTCTCTTCGCATCTTCAATCATGTAATATATTGTGTTGATTGTAGCTGGGACATACATGCAATGCACACGTTTCCAAGTTACATGAAAATATGTTTTCTTGCACTCTATAATTCTGTCAATGACGCCGCTTTTGCCATCCTCAAACATACAGGCATCAACATCATCCCTTACCTCAAGAAAGTGGTATGCACATATATATATATATATATATATATATATATATATATGATTCAAGATTCAAATCTTAAAATTTTCAGAATATAATGTAATGATCATGTGTGTTTTTTTAATTTTTCCAGTGGGGTGATATCTGTGAATCAAATCTGACAGATTCGTGGATTTCAGTGGGCACGTGCCAAGCATGCAAGAATATATAGATAATGCATGGATTTCAGTGGGAGGGGCTGTGGCTCTGGTTCAAGTTTACTTTCTGCAGATTCAATATGATTCAATCAGGCCACAGGATTTTGAGTATTTACAAGAATACCCCTGTATTATTCGCCTTTCTTCCACCATTGTACGATTTGCTATTGACCTTGCAGCATACAACATTACTAATAGTGATGTTTCATCAAAATCATCAAGTGGTGAGTTTGATGCTGACATTACCAAGTCACTAAAATGCTACATGAATGAAACTGGAACTTCTGAACAAGAGGCGTATGAATATGTCCTCACCTTGATATGCCAAACTTGGAAGAAGATGAATGAAGCAGTGCATAATTCTGAATTCTCTCCGGGTTCCACAGAAATTGCTCTCAACCTTGCAAGAATGGCTCGAGATATGTACCAGCATGGAGATGGTCATCCTGACGATTCTCATACTAGCCTTCCTATTCTTTCCTTGCTTGACCACCCAATTCCTATTACATCTACATGCTAGTGTTTTTTTTTTTTTTTGCGTCTATATTTAGTTTGGGATCACGTTTGGAGCCCAAACATGCATCTCAACCAGCAAAAGCTCTTTTTTTGTTAAAAGTGATGTTTGGCACACCATTTTTGCAATCTGGCTTTTGGATTCAAATGGACTTTTGGAATAAAACTGATAGATCTTGCTTTTCACAGTGGGAAGAATACTAGTGCGCTGAAATGGGATATGTATTCTTGTTTAATTAGTAGTTGTGATTTTAGAGTAGCAACTTTATTTAAATCTGTTGATATGAAACTTTTGTTCATTTCTTAGGTGTTTATATGAACTGATTTAGAGGGTATATTTATCCATGTAATATATTTAATTAAGTATTTTAGTATTTTTTTAATTCTTCTTAATTTAATATGTTAATAATTTTCTTTTCAATATTTCTTTTACAATTGTCATATTATATACATACAATGTTAAATATGTATTGCTTAGTAAAATTTATATTCTTTTTAATTATTTTACATTTAAACTTATTTTTTCATTAATCATCAAAACAATTTCAGTTTGTCAAGCTGATTTTTTTACAAAAGCTAATTCAAACATAAATCACATTACACTATCTGACTTTTATCCTAACTTCAATTTGCAAAAGTGAGATTGGAAAAACACTACTTCTGTTACACATAATCCAAACACATCTTTTTTTTTTTTAATAAATGGGATCCAAAGGGTTAATATAGACAAAAGGGCATAATATATAGAAATGTAGAAAGATTATTCTCTCTTTGTCCTTCTCCCCGTGAGCTCTTCTTTTTTCTATGATTATGTGACTTTTTATATGTTGTTTTTTGAGGGAGAATTACTATAAGCTCGTAAGAAAGGAATTTAATTACTAAAAAGTTTAAATGATAAGTGAGCAGTATAAACCAGTTATCATTTCCTATACTAGAAATTGTTATTATATGCTTCTTAGTTGTCAACAGATTTTAGAGTAATTAAATCCCTTTCTTGGGACCTGATTCCAATTGCTCCTTTTTTTATTCCAACGGCAACCATGCATTTGTTTTATTGAGATCTCGGACTGATAATGAGAAGCGATAACCCCTTCACGGGAAACCTCCAAAAACTTGATTCTCTTGATTCGGATGCAGGATGCTACGACCACAACAAACATAAAAATATGTTTTCTTAGGTTATTGAACCTACGGTCTTTGGCTTCATCTTACTTCCCATTTATTCCACCCACTATGGTATCAACTCATAAATTGTCAAGCAGCCTAATCACACCAAACACCTCTCTTAAGCCTTTCCTAAGCATTGTGATGGTTGCATGAATAAATTGAAAGATCACACTCAAGTACGAAGTTCTAGATGTTTGGGGACCCAGGTTATGTCGCTAATTAAGGGATTCCCAAGGACCCAGGTGGTGAAGTGTCTGTTTAGGAGTGTTCATATCTGAGAAAGACAACTTTTGCTGTGTTGGTTCTTTGGACAGTTCAATTATTCCTTGTACAAACTTTGTCATTTTTCTCGTTCTGTTGTGTTGCTTTCATTTGTTCTGTGACTGCCCCCAGGTATCTGATATCGTAAATCAGATATGAAAATGTCGACATTGTAGAAATGGGTCCAAAGAAGAGCCATCACCATGAAATTTGGTGCATACCAATACCACAAATTGCTTTAATTATATAAGGCCAAAGGTTGCCCTTTATGTTTCTGCTGTCCTTCAGCACCTTCCCACAACTTTCCTTTCATATTAAGTTCCCTATTACGGCTTTCTCATGCAAATTCACAGCAGGATAGTGTGTCTGTGTGTGCGTGTAGTATGAATCTCCTCATCTTATGGTCTAAAAAACAGTTATTTTGAGTAAAATTTGACAGTATGGTGAGGATCAGTTAATTAGAACAATTGAAGTCTATGGGAAGTGATAATAAAAACAAAGCTAACTTGTCAGAAAAACTGGTTATGTTTCTTTTTTTCTATTATAATCTTATTTAAAAGGAATTTATTAGACTTTTGAATATTAATGTCAAACCATTGGTTTTTTTTTTTTGGGCCCCAGATTTGAACATTTTGAAATTAATTTTTCAATATATCATTCAAACACATTTATGACAAATTGATTTTTTTATAGAAACTTATCTAAACATAAGTTGCATTTTATTAATTGGCTTTTATTCAACTACAGTTTGCAAACATTAATCCAAACAAGCATGAGGTTTGTCTTGGCGTTTAGCTATTTTAGCTGCCTGCAATACGTATATGTAACCACTAAAAAATATCAACACCCTCGATTGCAAGTGAACCTTTGTTGTTCACACATTCAGAAATCTGGATTTGAGAGGCTGATGATGTTTTCTCTCGCCTTTGGGGCGAGCTCTTCCCTTTCCCTCTCCAGAAATTTCTTCAGGCAGTGAGAACTCACTTTCTCTCGTTTTTGCACGAGTGGCAGTCACGGCGTCTCTCTCCCCAGCGCCTTCCGCTGGCGGAGGGGACGTCCGTCTTTTGTTTTGTTCTGTTCTTCTCTTTCTGTGGTGATGGGTCTTTTGTAGCGATCTTCTCTTTCTATCTGGCAATAAACAAGTCTGTGATGTCTGGCACTGCTTGCTTTGATGGTGATTTTGCAAATCCTGACTTAAAGCCTGTTTGGAATCACTTTGAAAAGTGTTTATAAGCACGTTTTGTGTAAGTTAAGATAAAATTCTTTTCATATATTTATCTTGTATTTTATAAATGATAATTGAAAAGTTACTTATAAATTGTTCTAAACAGACACTTAGTGGCTTGGATGTACGCTTTTGGTAAAAAGGGCTCATTGACCGCCTTTGCTTCCTTGGCATTGTTGTTAGGGTTAGCGTTTTTGTTATTGGGCTGTTAGTTTGTTGCACTTTTTTCATTGGACCCCTTTTGGGCTGTGTATTTTTATTAATGAAAATCTCTATTATCAGGTTGGAGAAAAAAAAAGTATTCAGGTATCTGCTGAGATCATTAGGTTACTCGGACTGTTCCTCGTAATTTTTCTCTGCTATCCAATCTCCTTCCATCATCTCCACGCACTATTTCCAACACAGAAAGTTAATGGCTTTTTTACCGGCAGGCTACAAAAAGTAAAAATATATACAAAAATGCTGCTATTTCAAAAGTATTTATCAATATGCTACAACTAAAATTATTATTGATAAGAACGATTTTTAAATTATATACAAGTCGTTTTTGTCAAGAACAATACGAGAATGATTTGTATGTTATCTGATAAAGAGTAAAATCATTCTTGGCGTGAATGATTTCACTTTTTAATATTTTATTTTTTTAAAATCAAAAAGTGAAATCATTCGCACCAAGAACAATTTTATTTTTTTACTATCACTTCCCCACACGACAATCTTTCTACTATTTTCTTCCCAATGCTTACTTCTCTTAGTTGTCAACTCAATTCTTTCTTTCCATGCAAACCCATGAGGTCACAGCAATTTATGTGCTTTTATATATTTACATGTTTAGTTTTTGTTTTCTGCTTCATCTCCTTTCATCTCGAAGCTCTCTCTTCTTTTTCTTCTTTTTCCTCCCCTTGATGGTTCACTTGTTCTATTTTCATTATTCTCTTGCTTTTTTATTTTTGCACTCCTGACAAGCTCTTTTACTGCTACTGTAGGTATGTTGTTTCTCTTCTTGGTTTTTTTTTTAAAAAGATTTGCAGCTGTGATATAGAATTTGATTTTTCATCCATACTATCTTTGATGAGCTAATAATTCATTATTCTAATTTTCAGAAGGTGAGTAGTGGTTTCAACAATCTGGAATATTAGTACTCTTTCTAAACCAAGTACCTCTACCAATGGCTGTTTGGCTGAGTAGTGTGTGTGTGTGTGGGGTGTGTGCGTTGCGAGTTTGGTTCCGCCCCCTTAACCCAAAAAAAAAAAATCAGATGCCTCTTATTTTGACGGTAAAACTATCATCTATTATATTATATTAAAATGTTAAAATTTTGATATAAGCTCAAATCTTTTTTTAGTATATGATTATTATTTTGTCTTGTGAAAGTATACTTCTCCAGGAGTTTAATTTGGTAAGATAAAACTGAAAAACAATTATATGTACACCCTAAATATCAAATATGTAGTATATATTAAGTTGGTGAAAAAAGAAAGAAAGAAAGTGTTCTACCAACTTCAAGTGAACTATTACTTTCATATATTTTTTAGGTAAAAATAAGGTGCAAGTAATGAAAAATTGAAATGAATGAAAGGCACTCATAATTTCTTTTTTTCATTTTGCCTTTTCCTTGCTATTTGCTATGTTGCATTTTTGAATCGGTGATAATATGTCACTACATTAGTGTTTTGAATCAAGAGTAAAATAATCTAACTATTCTTCTAGTTTGCATCAATTACATAAATTGCTCCTCTATTTTAAAAACATATAGTTTGATTCAATTAGTTAACACCGTTAGAAATATTCTAAAAATATTATTTTTAACTAAAATTTATATTAAAATTAAATTTATTTACTATTTTACTCCTCATTTTAAGAAATTCCTAAATTATACTTTTATAGTTACATCAATTTCATTTAGTTGAGGCAACCATAAAAGATTTGATTAAAACTTTAACTAATTTTTTTAATAAATATATATTTAACTGAATATATTTATAAATCTTTGTAATAAATGAAAATGAAAATGCAAGCGAACATGAATCTCCAATTTTTACTTAAGCTTTTGACACATCACCCTCACCATCATCCCTCCTTATCTCTATTGATCCTACACAACTTGAGTCTCATTATATGGCATCCTCATCATCATGATTTTATTAGATAATCCTACAATATTTTTAGCTAAATATAAAACTTTTACTTTTGAACATGTTGAATCATCAAATAAAGCATTTGTCACTCATTGACAATCTATACATTTAAATGAATCACCTTAATTTGATTCAAATACGCTAACTACGTAAACAAATGAGACACTTGAATCTCAAAAAGTTGACATACAGCAACGGCCACAATGTCTGAGAAGGAGGGCAAGATGTCATATTGGAAGTCACTATCAGTAAGGTGGATAATTTTTTCCTTATAAACTTAATTTTTATTTATTATTTTTTATAATAAAATAATTATTACTTTTTTTATTCAATATACATCGTATACTTATTTCACAATTAGTTTTAATATTACTCTTCCGGTCCTTAATATAGGACCCAATTTTTGAGTTGGTTTTGGTTCTAAACATAAGACCTATTTCTCATATTTGTCAATTTTCTCTAAATTACTCCTATGGATACTCCTTCAATCATAATCAAGTAGAAGAGGGAGATGGGGTATTAATAAATATGATTATGGTGTTTTAGAAAAAATGTGTCACTTTTTTTTATAATTAACTAATTTACCTAACTTCCTTAATTTAATCAAATTAGTTAAATGGGTCTTATATTAAGGACCGGAGTATTATTATGTAATTATCAATACTTTTTCCCCCATTATTTAGTATGATTTTTCATTCAAATGCTTGATAAATCATTATAATGATCATTTTATTTTCATTTATTAGGAGAGAAGGTGAGAAGTCGTTTAGTAGGAGATGAAGTTTTGCAATCCTTCATCAGAAGAACGATTTTCAGTCACTTCACGCACATTGATGCTTATTCTAAAGAAATCGTTCATTCAGAAGGACAACTTTGAAAATTAACCTAAAGAACGATTTTAAATATAGTATATTGGTAAATACTTTTAAAATTACAATATTTTAGTATATATTTTTACTTTTTGCAGCATACTGGTAAAAAAGTCGAAAGTTAATATTTCATGCCAGAAAATTTCTTATGGTTGATTAGAAATTAAACATAAAGGTAATTTAGAGATCCACATCGTATAATTCAAGATAAAACATGCAGTGTATAAAACGCCTAACTAGCCATCTCAACACAAGAAGCTGGACCAGGTACTGCCTAGAGGTGGAAATACAGACTAACCTGGCAGAGTTGACAACTTTAAAAAGGTCGGTTATATAGAGTCAAAATTTTAAAAATATCTTAATTTGCTAGGTCTAACCCTTAAACTAATGAGTTCAGGACCTGCCAACAGGCTTTCGGCCTTTTTAAAAAAAATTATTTTTCATATTTCTCATAAATTTTCCTAAAAAAAAGAAAATAAATCGATAAAATTATTAATAAAAGACATAAATATGAATAAAATATAAAATATCATATATATATAAATATCAATCAACGCCTAAGAACATATAAAACATTCATCAACAAGATAACAACATTTAAAAGTTTCATCTATAGTGCAAACGTATAATAAATAAACACTACCATTAATCTTTTGAAATTTTATCATCACTATACTTAATTACTCTTCTTCATAAGTATGCTTTTCTTTCATAGTAAAAATATCAAGTTTTTCTTCTTTATAGGAATTTCACTTGTAAATTTTACAGTCTAGCTATTATTTTACTTTAGTTTAAGAAACATTGTTATTGAAACTTGTAAATTTCCAATTCAAATTACAGAATCATAAGTTATATAAGTATAAAAATACTTTCTTATCAAATATATATAGTTTAAAAATATCAACACATATAATATAAATAAAATCATTATTAAAGTCCAAATTAACCTATTTTTTAAAAATTTAATTGGACAAATTCCTGTCTAAAACTAAATAAATCAAACCATTCTGTAAAATTTAATTTTAAAATAATAATAATAACTAAATATTCAAATTATCATTAACAATGTAAAAAATTTAATAATATTATAATTACACAAAAATTTAGAAAAACAAAAAAAATTATAAAAAAGCATAAATGGGCCGGCCCATTTAAGTCTTCGACTCTACAAGGTCAATCCTTTTAAGCCTGTTTCTCATTTCAAAAGAAAAATTTCAAATCAAGTCTTCAATTTTTGAGTATAAACTGATCAGTCCAATAGACTCAGCCTATTTTCTTGACTCTAACTAACGCTGGGTAGTTACCCGAGTGTGGGATTAAGGTGATGTGGATCCCGGGGGGATGGGGCTTGTGGTGAAGGTGGCTGGTGATGAATCTTGTGGATCAGGTCAGATTAGATCTATTCGTTGAGATGGCTTCCAAGAGCAGCCAAAATTCCACCATGTTTTGTCCGGTGGATTGCCAACTTGAGCCTGATCCCTTCAACCACCAACCTTCTTGTTCATGATGAAAAGGTGCTTTTTAATTGCTCTGAGATTCTTCAGTTTGAGTGGAATAAAAAAGACAAATAAACTTGTTAATTATAATGAATGTGATATGATTTGATGAGTAAAATATCTTTATATAGCATTAGATTGTATATAAATTTATAAATTAGTTTATAAGAAGAATATTATGCTACTCCCTTTGATTCAAAATGTAATAAGCATTAGATCTTTGAAGGTTTTTTTTTTAGTATTAATTTGTATTTTTCTGATCATTTAATATATATTTTTTATTTTTATCGTGAATTAGGTATATGTCTCTCTCATCCTTTTTCTTTTCCACTCATTTTCTCTCATATATTTTCTTAACTCATTCTCCCTCCCACTTATTCTCTCCATAAATAGGAATATTATAGAAAGATAAGTTATATTTTATTTATTTATTAAATTTAACCAATTTTAAGCAACTTTTTGAGTTGCGTAATTTAGTTAACTATTTAATGCTTATAATTTGAAGCCGACGTGGTATTAACAGAGTTTCCATGGGTTATGGGCAAATAGATTAAAAGCACAAAAAGATAAAAAAGAAATAATATCAAAAGTATATGAATGTATTAAGATTTTCATTATGGTTTTTTTTCATTATCTAAAATTAATAAATATACAATGATGTGAAAATTCTGAAATATAACCAAATATAAAGCATTTGCGGTAATGAATCTGAAGCTTGTTTTCTTTGATTCTGCTGTCCACCTCACGGCCCCGAAGAAATCACCGGTTGAAATTACTCGTGTTGCACGTGGAAATGAATAAAATATAAAATCTAACAAAACTTTCTTTGACATCTCTCCGTATATTTTAAAAGTATCTGGCTAGCGTCAAGAGTGTATCCACTTGGCTTATTGATGACCACATGGTACATTTCTTTCTTTTTAACAACTTATGGCAACTTGTTCACGAATTTGATATTGGTTCTAATTATAAAATCTCATTTGTAATCTATAAATGAGGTCTTATAATTAGGATTAGAGGTGGAATATATATATTCCATTTCGATTTTTTTTATAAGAGCATGAAATTTGAATTTCCTTGATCCTTTACTATTTTTGCCCCTAATAAATTTTATATATTGTATTAATTAAAAAGTTGATAACTTGACATACTACCCTCCTTTTCATACTTTCTCTCACTATTATTCTCCTGCTTTTTCTTACTTGCCCCTTATAAATAAGGGCAAACTTGAAAAAAAAAGTTCATTTCTTATTTATTTATTATTTTTAATTAATTTTAACTGTTTTATAAGATTGTTTAGTTTTTAGTTATGAGGCTCTTATAAAAAGTAACGGAAGGAGTATATAAATCATGTTCTCTCTCTCTTTCTATATGCACGCCCACGTATATAACTCTTGAGCTTTGAAGCCAAGGCTTTTCGTCTGAGACTAAGAACTGATGGCTCTCCCCAGACTAGCCTCATTCCCAAATTGCAGTCTCTTCAAAGTGCTCTCGCCATCAAAAACAAAATCCTCAGTGTTCGCTGTTAAATGTAATACTTCCTTTACTACTCTTCATTTCGTTTCTGATCAAAACAACGCCAATCTTCGCCGATCTGCAAATTATCAACCTTCAAGTTGGAGTTATGAACTTATCCAGTCAATCACTAGTGAATATGGGGTACATATATTTCTGACTTCTAATAATCTCTTCATTTTTCCTAACTTATAATAATTCTTGTCCTTCATAATTAACCTGTTTTCGTTTTCTGTGCAGAAAGAATCATATGCAGAAGAAAGAGATGAACTGAAAGCGCAAGTTAGAAAGATGATTTCCCAACTCACAAATGATTTGGACAAACTTGAATTCATAGATGGGTTGCAAAAGCTGGGAGTGTCTCACCATTTCGTCCATGAAATAAGAGACATGCTGCAACATGTGTACGCCCAGAATTATGAAGACAGATTGAAAACTAAGTCTGATGACTTACACACCATTGCTCTTCAATTCCGAATCTTAAGGCAACATGGATTTGATGTGTCATCAGGTACTACTAACTTGGACCCGAATTCTTTTATTTACAGCACCATGATGCTATAAGAAGAAAGATATTTGCAGGTGGATGGGCCCCACTTGACATAAGACATTTGCCTATCTACTCAATGTACAATGCACATATCTATATCTCTTCTTGCAACACGTCACTATTGCAAGCAAAACTTTCTGTGTTGGTTAGGGAAGACGTTTAGTGTGTAAGAGTATGGTAATTTGTTCTAATTTTACTACGGTAAAACAAATACTGTAGAAATTAAATGACTTTATATTACAGTAGCCTTATAACTTAGCTGCATAAAAACTCCCCCTAGGAGGTTGCCGGTTTGATTTCACTTGTAACCTCAGGTCTTTAGTGTCTACAGTATTGTAGCTTTCACTGGAAAGAAAAAAGGCATACCAAATCGAACTGTACTGATTTTTAGTATTGACTAATGAATCTATAACATGCATGTACTGCTTTTTTCACAGAGGTTTTTAGAAGTTTTCAAGATGAGAAAGGGAATTTTGATTTGGATGATACAAAGGGAATTCTATCATTGTACGAAGCATCGTTTCATTCAATGGAAGGTGAAACTATACTTGAGGAAGTTAGAGATTTTTGCAGTAATTATCTGAAACAATTTGTGAAGAAGGAGGAGAAAGATAGTGATGATATATCAGCAATGATCAGTCATGCACTGGAGATTCCCCTACACTGGAGGATTCCCAGACTTGAAGCTTCATGGTTCATTGACTTATACCAGAAAAGCAATGATGTGAGCCCTGCCTTGCTTAAGCTTGCTCGTTTGGATTTCAATGTTGTCCAAGTCACCCATCAACAAGACTTAAAATATACATCAAGGTAAACGAAACAAAATAATTCTATGTCTTTTCTTTTTTTAGCCAAATTATTTATATATCCAATAATTCTATAGGAAGTCATATTGTTTACCAGTTTTGAATAATACGACTAACTGAGAAAATATATTACATATAGTTAGACAATGAATTGTGCAGGTTTTATCTTTCGTATACTTTTATGTTTTCTGCTACTACTTAGTTACATAACTGAAGATATCTAATTTCTACTTTGAAGATGGTGGAAAGAAATGAGAGATGGAGAAAAGCTGAGCTTTGTAAGGGACATGCCAACGGAAAACTTCTTTTGGGGTGTGGGAATGGCTTCCCAACCTGAGCTTTCATATTTCAGAAGAGAGATGACTAAGATCACTTCCTTCATAACCATCATAGATGATATTTATGACGTTTATGGCACATTGCAAGAACTTGAACTCTTCACTCATGTGGTCCACAGGTCAGCATATACTCTTAATTAATACATCATCTGTATATATGTATATAGACATAGATATACATATATAGATAGCTCCTTGTCCACATCATCTCCAATAATGTAATATACTTTTGTCGATTGTAGATGGGATATACATGCAATGCACACTCTTCCAAGTTACATGAAAATATGTTTTCTTGCACTCTATAATTCTGTCAATGAGGTAGCTTTTGCCATCCTCAAACATACAGGCATCGACATCATCCCTTACCTCAAGAAAGTGGTAGGCATATATATATATATATAATATTCAAGATTCAAATCTTAAAATTTTCAGAATAATGTAATGATCGTGTGTGTTTGTTTAATTTTTCAAGTGGGGCGATCTCTGTGAATCATATCTGATAGAAGCAAGGTGGTACAACAATGGGCACGTGCCAAGCATGCAAGAATATTTAGATAATGCATGGATTTCAGTGGGAGGGGCTGTGGCTCTAGTTCAAGGTTACTTTCTGCAGATTCCAGATTCAATTAGGCCCCAGGATCTGGAGTATTTAAAAGAATACCCCAATATTATTCGCCTTTCTTCCACTATTGTACGACTTGCCAATGACCTTGCATCACACAAGATTATTAATAGTGATGCTTCATCAAAGTCATCATCAAGTGGTGGGTTTGATAGTGACATTCCCAAGTCACTAAGATGCTACATGAACGAAACTGGAGCTTCTGAACAAGAGGCTTATGAATATGTCTACACTTTGATGTGCCAAACTTGGAAGAAGATGAACGAAGCAGTGCATAATTCTGAATTCTCTCAAAGTTTCACAGAAATTGCTGTCAACCTTGCAAGAATGGCTCAATATATGTACCAACATGGAGATGGTCATGCTGAAGATTCTCATACTAACCTTCGTATTCTTTCCTTGCTTCACCACCCAATTCCTATTACATCTACACGCTAGTGTTTTTTTCCGTCTATATTTAGGGCTTGTTTGGGATCACATTGGGGGCTCAAATGTGCATACAGGCAGGCAAAAGCTCTTTTTTTTTGTTGGGTTAAAAGTGATGTTTGACACCCCATTTTTACAATCTAGCTTTTGGGTTCAAATGGACTTTTGGAATGAAACTTATGAATCTTGCTTTTCACAGTGGGAAAAATACCAGGGCGGTGAAAAGGGGGGAAAAGTTACAGTATTTTGAGTTTTTCTAGTGTTATATGTTCTTGTTTTATTAGAAGTTGTGATTTTAGAGCAGCAACCTTATTTAAATCTGTTGGTATGAAATTTTTATTTATTTTTTAGATATTTATATGAACTGATTCAGAGGGTATATTTATCCATGTAATATATTTAATTAAGTATTTTCGTTTTTTTTTATTTCTTCCTAATAATAAAATAATTTTAATATTTTAATAATTTTATTTTCAATATTTCTTTTACAGTTGTCACATTATGTACACATAATATTAAATATGTATTACTTAATAAAATTTGCATTCTTTTCAGTCATTTTACATTTAAACTTACCTTTTTATTAATTATCAAAATAAGTGTTAGTTTGTCAAACTAACTTTTTTTTTAATAAAAACCAATCCAAATATAAATCATATCATACTATTTGACTTGTACCCTAACTTTAGTTTGCGGAAGTCAGATTTAAAAAAAGCTACTCTTGCCATTACCACCGCTAATCCAAACATACTCTTAGCTCTTTATAAATGGAATCCAAAGGATTAATACAACTATGGACAAAAGGGCATAATATATATAACCGCAGAAAGATTATTCTCTCTTTGCCCTTCTCACCGTGAGCTCTTCTTTTTGCCCATGATTATGTGACTCTTGTTTTTTTTTTAGAGAGAATTGCTATAAGGTTCCGAGAAATGAATTTAATTACTAAAAAATTCAAATAATAAGTAAGCAGTATAAATCGGTTGCCATTTTCTATATTAGAACTTGTCGTTACATGCTTTTTGATTGTTAACGGACTTTAGAGTAATTAAATTCTTTTCTTAGAACCTAATTGCAATTCCCTCTTCTTTTTTTTATTCCAATGACAACCATGCATCTGTTTTATTGAGATCTCAGACTGATAATGAGAAGCAGTGACCCCTTCACGGGAAACCTTCAAAAACTTGATTCTCTTGATTCGGATGCAGGATGCTACGACCACAACAAACATAAAAATATGTTTTCTTAGGTTGCTGAACCTACGGTCTCTGGCTTCATCTTACTTTCCATTTATTCCACCCACTAAGGTATTAACTCATAAACTGTCAGGCAGAATAATCACACCAAACACCTCTCTTAATTTCTTAAGCATTGTGATGGTTGCATGAAAAAATTGAAAGATCACACTCAAGTACAAAGTTCTAGATGTTTGGGGACGCAGGTTATGTCGCTAATTAAGGGATTCACAAGGACCCAGCTGGTGAAGTGTCTGTTTATGAGAGTGTTAATATCTGAGAAAGACAACTTTTTCTGTGATGCTTCTTTGGACAGTTCAATTACTGCTTGTGCAAACTTTGTCATTTTTCTCGTTCTGTTGTGTTGCTTTCATTTGTCCCGTGACTGCCCCAATACCATAAAATGTTGACATTGTAGAAATGAGTCGCAAAAAGAGCCATCACCGTAAAATTTGGTACACACCAATACCCCAAATTGCTTTAATTATATAAGGCCAAAAGGTTGCCCTTTATGCTTCTGCCGTCCTTCAGCACCTTCCCACAAATTTCCTTTCACATTAAATTCCCTATTACGGCTCTCATGCAAATTAACAGCAGGATAGCTGTGTGTGTGTGTGTGTGCGCGCGCGCACGTAGTATGAAGCTCCTCATCTTATAGTTTGAAAAACAGTTATTTCGAGTAAAATTTGACAGTATGGTGAGGATCAGTTAATATGAACAATTGAATTCTATGGGAAATGATAATAAAAACAAAGCTAACTTGTCAGGAAAACTGGTTATGTTTCTCTTTTTCTGTTATAATCTTATTTGCTGAAGCTGCATTGAAACAAAGTAGCGGCTGAAAATGATTCTATTGAAAATAAGGATAGTGGGAAGGACAAAGAATTCTTTCCCAGGTTGAATGCAGCTTTGTCTGTTTGGCCTCAGATTTTGTTGCATGTCATATCATTTTGAATCTGATAGGTTTCAATAATTTGGCGTTGCCAAAATATACTTAGCGTCCAAAACCTTTGCTGATTTATCCATATTTTTCTTCTTTGTCGGTGCTTGGTTAAGTGCATATGTTTTGTTTGCTTGCTTGATTCTCCTCAATTTTATTGCCTGTTTAATTGTTATTTACTTTCAATCTGATATGTGTTTCAGTAATTTGGTGTTGCAAATAATAGAAATAGTCTCCCTCTCCTTGTGTGTGTTATGTTGATCAAAATGGCAGAGGTCAGAAATAGAGCAGTGGCAAAGTGCCAGAATAAAACGTGGGGGATCAAGCCACCCGGCCCAGCAGGCATAGTGGGCCGGAGAAGCAGCAGCCTGTGGTCCTTCCTCGTGCCGTGCACTCTCTTCCAGGAACCACAAGCCTCAAAGCCTTTGCTCTGAACTCCTGGCTCGGCTCTCCACTCAGAACGGGCAGGCCAGCGCGAGTCGCATCCTCCAAACCGACCAGATGATGCCAGAGCCGTGTTCCATTCAAGGAATTTTTTTTTTCAAAAAAGAAAAAAAAATGAATGGGACACTAAATAAGTTGAGATAGTGATTCAATGGTCAATTAGTTAGATTGTAGTCAACTCGAGATAAGTCAACTCAGAATTAAACCGGTTATGTTAAAATAATATAATTTAATTAAAAATAGCAAAATAGAACAACATTGATAATCATTAATAATAAAATACAAAAAAATATAATAATAGTTTGATCGTAACAATAATTAAGTATAACAACATTGAGAATTTTGATTTTTATGATTGATTAATAATTAAAATTAACAACTATTGATATCAAAGTTATTAGTAAAATTCATTCAAATATATAGTGACTGAGATATTAAGAACTATATAATAAAAAATAAAATCAACTGTTTCAGTCCGTTGGTCAATTCAACAACCAATCTAAACCACACTACAACCACTAATCAATTCACTAGTTTTTCAGTTATCCTTATCGGTTTGGTCTCTTTTTTTTTTTTTTTTTGGGTTGTTTCATCAACTTATCCCCCCTACTTGGACTACCAAGCTAGTGTTACCCAGCGCATCAAGCTGCATGTTGCTTTGGATGTTTATATAACATAATTTGAGCTAAATTCATCAACCCCTTTTATTATCATTTACAGGAAGACGGTTTTTTTTTTTTATAGACCAGAGGGATTCCTAGACGTCAGTAAAAAATGTTACTAGAATCTTAAGATTTCCAAGCTAATCTCTTTCATTTCTTATTCAAACTGTACTTCGATTTATCATTTTTTGTCATAGTTGTATCTAATGTCAGCCTAACAGAAGATATTAATTTCAAGGTTAAAATATGCATCATTGATAATCTTACTTTCAGTTTAATATATCATATAATGAATTATTTACCACCAAAGCTTAACCACATGTTCGTCCACAATATAAAATCATTGGATGTGGACATTTTAGCATAGTATGCGCCTGCATTATTTCATAATTAATGATAATAGTTGCCTGAATGTTAAATTAAAAAATTGCGCAATTTGCTGAGTTTCATTGTTAACATAATAAAATCCACATATTCTGCTCATTCTTGAATGATGAGGATTCATTTTGTTTTTTATTTTATAATTTTAATGTTTGTTAAAATTTAAACACTATTTTAACTGGAAAACAAAAATTTAAAATTTAAAATGTATAAATTAGATATGTACCATCTCAATCTCAATGAGAGTACAACGTAATTTATATATTTAAACATTATTATAAGGCATTTCTCAGCTTCAACTCAAGTGGTAAAGCTGTCAACAACAATCAAATCTGAACCAAAAACAAAAAAGGCAAATTCATCAGTACTAACCAAGCACTCAAATTCAGCTGCTTACAACAGTCAGCTGAGCATTCCTTTCAAATACAGCACAAGAATTAAAATCTCCTACTCCCGTCATTTAGTTGAATATATATACTATAGGGAGAATGTATATATAATAGGCATTAAACTTTTATTGTTCACTGTTTTGAGGTTCTTTTAGAATTTGAAATCAAATAACCAAACACAAAGTAAACAGCCTAAATGCCAAATGGTCTGTGCTTAGCACTTGTTATATCCCTAAACTCGCTCTGTGCCATCTCCAGACGTCTTCTGGCTTCTTCTTTTTCTTTTTGAACTTGCTTCAAGTTCACTTCGCAAGTCTCAAGCTCGGCCTCCATGGCTCGAATTTTCTCTTGTGCCAATGAGACATCAGACATGTTAACACCAAAAACTCTGGCTCGAACCGAATCAACCCAACCTTTGTTGAACCCAAGAGAAATTGCTTCGCGCAGGTTATCCTCCAAGGTTGACTTTTCTGGTGCTGTAATGTTATATGGAGTCTTGTTAGCTAGCACGACCAATATGTCAACTAGTACTCTGTAGGAAAATGCTATTCTTCGGCGGGTTCGTTGTTCACGATGAGGTAACAATAGTTCCGGGTATTGCTTAAGTGCTTGTGCAAGTAAAGCCGCTTCACCATCTTTTAACTCCACAAGTTGGAAAATTTCAAGAATCTCCAACGTAGGAGAAGGGCTAGAAGTGCCATTTTGTGGTGATTCTGTAATAGCTCAGTAAGTTAGTGGATAATTGAAATAAAAACTAGAAGCATCACATAAAAGAAAAGATACTTACGATGATAGAGAGAAGGAATAACATTAGGAACATTTGGTTTTGAGCCATTCTCTAGTTTTTGTTCGACAGTCTGCATGGAACACAATGAAAAATTTATTGTAGTTTATTTGGTTCCATCTCTTAAAAATGCATTCTTTTTACAAATATAAGTCAAAGCTCATCAGATGTACCGAATCCAATGGAGTTGCTGCCATCGGTGATGTCTCAACACTTCCCCTTGCTGCTTCCTTATTAGTACTCTGACAAACATCAATATTTGAATATGCAAGTTGTTCATTTGTTAAATTCACTAATATGTTTATTTTTTCAGTTAGAGTGGGGGTCTGCCCATCTCTCTCAATATGAATTAAGCAAATTAGAAGCAGGTTATGAACATGTGCAAATTCTTTTTCCAAGAGATTAACAAAAGCGAATTCTTGGTTTTCTCCAAGAGTGAAAGAGCCTTTTGTTTAGTCTACTAGTCTTAACATTTATGTCTATTTTTTCGGATACTGTTTGTACGTTAGAATTATGTTGATCAAATCATGGAACCCCATTTCATGTAAATAAGAGTTTGGAAATGTGATTTTGTTCACCTCTGAATTTTTTGAAATTGCGGACATTGCTGTCTGTGAAGCAACCAGTATCCCAGTCGCTTTCCCTGTTCTTGAGCTCTGATCAAAAGATAAAATTAATTTCATAAAACAACTCCATTATTTCATGTAATTCACAGGGTTTAGGGTTTAGAATTATGTTGATCAAATCACGGAACCCCATTTCATGTGAATAATTTGGAAATGTCGTTTTGTTCACCTCTGAATTTGTTGAAATCGTGGACATTGCTGTCTGTGAAGCAACCAGTATCCCAGTCTCTTTCCCTGTTCTTGAGCTCTGATCAAAAGATAAAATTAATTTCATAAAACAACTCTATTATTTCATGTAATTCATAGGATATACTTTATCTCTTCATGCACTAGCCAATTCTTCTCCCACCAATATTTATTAGTTCGCATCTTAGTACAAGTTCTGAACGTGATTGCAACGTTGCCGTTTTTGATATCTTTGAAATCGAAAATTTTCTGTAATGTCTTTCACTATTTCCAGAATGTGCTGACAAGCAATATAACATAGGTAATCAATTTTTAAAAGCTACATAAAATCTCAAATTTGATGGAATTCACATTATTTCCTTAAGTATACTTAAGAGGAAAAACATAATTATCAAAACACATGAAAGGTTCTCTCATGTGAAGAATAGATAGAGCTTAGAGATGCCATTTTGATCACCTTTGGATTTGATGAAGTTGCAGTCACCGATGACTCCGGAGCTAATCCTGCAACTTCCCTTCCTGTTTCTAAGTTCTGAATAACACCAAAGGTAAATTTTTTTTTTTTTTAATAAAGTAAGTTCATTAATGTACTGAATTTATCATTTTATTCACTGATCAATTCCTTTTTCTTGCAAAATTTAGATACATGGGTTATAAAAGGTGGTTTTAACTAAGATAAATGGCATAGTTGTTAGTATTGTGGCTTGCAAAGATGTAATAGACAATGGTTTATAAAGATAATCAAACTTACCTGTGATAATTCTTTGGCTAAAGAATTATCCGATGATACTCCAGATTGCGTCCTTAACCCCAAACATTTTTGTTGAATTGTCATCATCATCATGTCCCCCTTAGATTTAACTTGCTCTTGAAAGCCTTGTTCTGCTGTTTCTTTCAAACCATCAACCTAAAAAACATGAAGAAAGTTGTTCTTCCACTTATTTTGCAACTCCAATTATGCTCTAAAGTTCAACAACATTATGCATACAATGAAAGAACACATCTAGTGGGTAGGGAATTTGAATTTCACTTTTTATATTGCTTCTCCAAGTGCGAGTTGGTAGTCATTGGTTGTTCAATGACCAACTATAATACCATACATGAATGTACAAAAATAAGTCAGTCTTATTTATCCTTGAAGCTTGATCCGCGTTCAAATCCATTGGAAAGGCCATATTAAACTTCCAATTTTTTTTCGCGTGTGGCTGGATTTACAATAGTATTCAAATGCATGGTCTTAGTCAATAAAATATGAACATGAGTCAATCCTAAACCTTTACACCAATTTTTATGTACTAAAAAAATTAGTCATCAAAATGCATGGAAACTTCTCTCATGTGAAGAATAGATAGAGCTTAGAGATCCCATTTTGATCACCTTTGAATTTGAAGTGGTAGCCACTGATGCCTCTGAAGCTGTTCCTACAACTTCTTTTCCTGCTTTTGAGTTCTGAATAACACCAAAGGTAAAAAATTTTTGTATCTTTCTATTCACTGATCAATTCTTTTTTCTTGCAACGTTTAGACACGTAAAGGGGTTGGAGATACCATTTTGATCACCTCGGAAACTTGTGCAGTTTTGGCTGTAGGTAACTTTGAAGCAGGAACGTCTTTGCCAATTTCCTTCCCTGTTTCCTTATCAATCTGAGTCACAACAGAATATTTAACTAAGCAGTCAACTAAGGTAACTTCATTAATTCTTAAATCTTTTCATTGTCTGCCATTCAAATTCCATCACCCCCCCCCCCCAAAAAAAAAAGAGAAAGTAAAGGGAGATAAGATGCATGGGATAGACTTGCTGTGTTGACATGTAAAGATGAATGGTTGGTATTTAGAACTGACATGTATAAAATCATGTTATAAGTACTTTGGTGAACTTACTATTGTAGATGGACCAGATTGTGAACCCCCTGCTTCTGTCGTGGAAGTATGAACTTTAGGTTCCATAATTCCTGTTTCCCTTGGAATTTGTTCAGTGACACTCTGCAAAAATACACAGAGAAATGTAAGTATCAAGTGATTTAATTACAATCCTTTAATATTTATAAGAGTTCGAGCTTACAACAGCTGATATTTCTCCTAGTACTTGCTCATGTGTTATGGTTGTTTCACTCGTCGGCTTTGTCTTCTTCAAACCCTGAAAGAAGCAATGAATATAGAAGGTACAAGTTTAAGCTATTTCATGAGCGTATGACCGATATTATTAGATTAAAAAGCGCACAGCACACTGATTAATAACCATTGAAAACTCTTATTGTAGCAGAATGATTAATGTTTCTGATAAGTTTCTCAGTCCTAAGTTAGTTAACATAGTTGCTACCTCAACATCCTCTGAGGTACGACCCTCTCGAACTCTTTCCTTTGATATAGCATCAGCACTCTGAGCAACACAGATAATAATAGGATGTCATATGTTGTAATAATAATGCAACTTCAAAATCAATACTCTTTTATGTTATAGCGCACATCATCATCATCAAGTGGTACTACGCTGGTTTTTTGAGGAACCTCATTTGTTGTTTTCGTTTCTCCAAGTCCATGATCTTGATGTTGGAGTTTCCCATTTGGTTTTTTCATTGTCTGTTCATCATTCAACTCCTATTTGAAACATTGAAAAAAAGATTAAGACCATTTTAGAAGCAATTTATTATTAAACTAATAATAACCAAGTAATCAATAAACTTACATGTAGAGATGCCCTTCTTGGTAGTGAATTAAGCGTTGAAGTTCCAAATGCTTGTTTCTCTAAAGCGTGAGTAGGTTCCTTGGCTTCAACCTCCTTTGTTGTTTTCTTCATGCTCTACAATAGGAAAAGAAACGTTTTGTCAATGCATCAATTTCTCTTTTTTTCATAGTGCACATGATAGAATCCTTTAACAATTAGACAACATATGTATGATATTTTCCCCATGTAATGATTATTCCAATATACCTCTGCTGAGTTTGGCAAGGAACTTGTTTCTCCCACATGTGACAGAGCCTCGACATTATTGGAATGTGGACAAAGTGGCTCCTCATTTGCTGCTTGAATATCTAAATCCAAATGCTCAGGTTCTGCTTCTTGGACTTGTTGAGAAGTAATTTCTGCGGTGGTATTTTCAATATTATTACATATTACTAATATTAATAAAAACTAGCAATTAAAAGGAGCGAACTTTTTCTAGTTACATTCATACCTTGATACTTAGGACAATCAACCACTTGATGATCTGGCAAAGTTTGAAACGGCATCCCCCAACAAACAGTGACAAGCTTTGGCAATTTTATGAGTCTTAAATATGAGAGATTTGGAAACGCATCTTTTACCACCATCTTCTGTGTATCATCTTGTTTGCGTTTAAATATTTGCTCTAGCTCATAGGCTGCTTCTATTTCCAAACTCTCTAGCTTTGGGAACATGTTGGGTGTGGAAATTGAGAAGAGAAATTTCAAGCCATGACAGTTCTGGATGTGAACTTTTTCTAATTTTGGGAAGCTCATTTGTTGCCTATCATCATCAGCACTTTTTTGGGCATCCTCCTCAATAATCTGAACTAATTCTTCACAGTCTTTTATTTTTAAATGGAACAAGTTTGGCAGTTCTTTCCGTATCGAGATGGAGAAGACCGCTCTTAGGCTTTTACATCCTATGACCTTCAGACTGCGAAGATGGTCGAAGCTCAAACTACTTTTAGGGCCCTTACACATTTGCTTCAGCTCACTTAGATTTTTCAGCATCATGGATTGTAAGCTTAATCTCACTAGTCTTCCAATTTTTACTCCTTCCAGGTTAAAAACCTCGTCTATTGTGGAGTTCCCAACCTCAACATTTGTCAAGCGACAAATTTTCTTTAAGTCCTAGTAGAGGCAGTCCAATTCCAAATTTCAGTACAAATTCAACAAGTTAATGGATAATAGATTATTGACAAAACAATTGTATACTCATACACGTATGTATCTACACACATGCATCAGAATAAAGTGAACTAAAATATTCAGACTCAATTGGTAAAAATTAACAAAAGGCGTTGATAAAACGAATTAATGATGTTCCATCTAAATCTCATAAATGAAATTGAGACAACAGATCAGCAAGGTTTTGCAAGGAATGGATCCTCATCTTAGCTAGCTATTTTTTTTAATCCTCTTAATAAACCTCATCCAATGAAAAGATTAGAATTGGTTTCGAAATTGAAAGTACTAGTCACCTTTCTTAAGAATTTGTTGAGTTAGCCCATTTCACTAAAAGTTGAACTTTAATTGGGAAAAAAAAAAAAGAATTCAAGCAAGAGGGTCAAATAAGCACAGCACTAGCTAGCACATGTCATATAACCAAAAAACAAGAGAGGCGTTACCTTTGCAGGCTTCCAATAACCCGTCAAATTTAGAGAATCCCTTGTCAGCTGACAGTTGTCTAAACCAATTTGCTGTAGAGATGGCAGCATCACAGAATATCTTTTGGCACAAATGTTGATGATATGTGGCACGTCTCTAAGTGATAGTGTTTTCAAAGCTGGGAGATCAACCTCAAACCTACCATTCTGTTTCTCATTAGATAAATAATCTCCCTGATGGTATTTTCCAAAAATACATTTCAGAACAGCAGCTTGCTCGACGATCATAGATTTCAATTTTGGAAGGCCTCGAAGGAAAGAGGAAGGAAATATAGACTCCAATTTGTTGCAATTCTGGATTTGAAGATATTCCAGTTTTGGGAGAATGTCTCTGTCACTGAAATCATCATAGTCATTTGAATCCTCATCAAGTACATGAACTAATTCTTCACAGTTTAATATACATAACTTCCATAACTGCGATAGCCTTCTCCATGTAGAGGCAGGGAACATAGCTTTTATCTTTCTGCATTCTATGATCTTTATTTCTCGAAGACTATGGAAGTTGAGAACTTTGGCGCTCACACTTGATGTCATTGGTCTTTCATCATCAATTATCTCTTCTATTTCGGATTCCATTTCTCCTTGACTGCTCAAATTCTGCATATGCATGTTAATTGTAAGTTCTAGATTAGTCTATCTAAAACAGATAACCATTGACAATCAACAACGAATACTGGGGGGGGGGGGGAAACCAATAAGCAGTAATCATATAAATGTACAAGTTTGAAAGAATATCCAAGCACTGTTGTAAAGAAACTAGCTATTAATAAAAAGGGCAATATTTGTGCCCGGAAATTAGAGTAATATTAACATGCTCTAGAACAGTCAGTTCAAAGTGCTACGTACCTTTGCCGTTTCCAAACTCCGGTGTCTTCCATTTGTACAAATGCCGACGACATTTGGCACATTTATAAGGCTTATTGTTTCCAGTGCAGGTGCATCAATGTAAAGCTCTTTATTTTCATTCTCATTTGACAAATACTCTTCACGACCAAATCTCCCAAAGACATATTTCAGTTTTGGAGCAGCTTTAATAATCACAAACCTCAACTTTTGAAGACGTGCTGAAGAACTGGATGGAAATATAGATTCCATATTCCTGCAATCAACAATTACGAGCTCCTCTAGTTTTGGGAAAATGGAGATGCAGTCCATATGATCATGATCCTCTTCCTCATTTGTTATGACGTGCTTCAACTCATCACACCTTTGGATTGTCAACTTCTCCAACATTATAGTTGTAGCAATGGATATACTGAACAGTGATGTTAATTTCCAACATTGCACAATTGTCATCTGCCTTATATTTTCTAGGTTCACTGGTTGTCTCAAAAGACACTGAGCTGCATGAAAAGTTTGAGTCCCTTGCATTGAGGCTGGTGATCCCTACAAACATTTGTTTTTATAAATTTCAATAAGAGTTGATTAAATTGTTTTGACAAGAATTTATATCATGCACACACGAAGCAAAAAGAAAAAAAGAAAAAAGAAATGGTATGCTCTCTTAGTTACCAATTTAAGATTTCAATGATTTGACAACAATCAAACCATAATCAACAATAAGTATTTAATGATCAATGATGATACAGAAGTAAAATTTTAAAAGAATATTGACATGCTGTAAAACAGTAAGTAAAAGTGGGTTACCTTTGCGGTTTCCAAATTCAATTGTTTTCCATTTGAAGAAATGCTGATGATATTTGGCACATCTGTAAGGCTTAGTGTTTTCAGAGCAGGGAGATCGATGGAAAGCTCTTTGTTTTCTATCTCATTTGATAAATACTCTTCACGGCCAAAAACATATTTTAGTTCTGCAGCAGCTCCAATAATCAGAGACTTCAATTTTTGAAGACACACTGAAAAAGTAGATGGAAAAATAAATTCCATATTCCTGCAGTCAACAATTACGAGCTCCTCTAGTTCTGGGAAAATGGAGATACTGTCCATGTGACTCTCCTCTTCCTCATTTATTATGACGTGCTTCATCTCATGACACCTCTGGATTGTCAACTTCTCCAACTTTACAGTTGTGGCAATGGATACAGAGAACAAAGACATTAAATTTGAACATTCCACAATTGTCATCTGCTTTACATTTTGCAGGTTTAATGATCGTCTCAAAAGACACTTCGCTCTTTGACTCTCTTTCATTGAGGCTAGTAATTCCTACAAACACACATTTTTCAGACAAAAATAATTTCAAGTGATTAATGCGATGTGGCAAAAACTTTGACTGATAAGAACTCATGAAATATAGTAATAAAGAAGGAAATATCCACTCTAGAAAATGTAGAATTTTGACCAGTCCTTTCATTTACTATTAGAATGAGAAATCATAAGGTAAAATTCAAAGTGGGGCAAGAGTAACATACCAGTGAAGTTGTATGGTCTTGCATATCTGTGTTACATTCTGGAAATGGTGTGATGAAATTGGGTACATCATCAAGTACCATTTTTGTCAATGAAGGGAGCATAATCTCTTCATGCAAAACCCGGCCCTCATGTCCTCGGCATTCACCAAATAGGTATTTCAGCTCCTTGCATTTTCTTATAATTACAGCTTCCAAACGGAGAAGGTCTTTGGCATAAAGGCGTGGTGATATCAATTCTAATTTGCCACACCCTTTTATTTCTAGAGTTCTCAACTTTGGAAACAGTGTGCTGTAACTGTTTTTTTTATTATCAACTTCCACTATTCCCTCTCCCAAGCTCTCATAAGTAATTATTCTTTCCAGCTCCTCAAAATCACTGATTATTAGTTCTTGCAACTGCTCTAAACTCTGAGCAACAGATGATTGGAAGATTGATGATTGGAACGCGGAACAATTTATCAAATGCAAGACCTTCAGTTGAGGTAGTTTGAGATTTCTATCGGAGAATATATTGCGCAGATTCTTGCAGTTTCGCAGCTTTAAAATCTCCAGCCGCTCGAGAAATCCAGAGATCATAGGACCCCGATATAATTCTCTCACATCCACACCATCTAGAAACAGCTGAACCAAGTGGGAGAAGACTTCCACCTTAGAATCAAGATCATAATTGCTAGTGTCAACGAGGCACTCCATATCAACTAAAGAATACAAACAAAGCTTAGTTAAATCATTCATGCCTCCATTTTCCAAAGGAATGATGTCAGGTACAAGATTCTTCCATCCCACACCTCTTACTTCTCCCAGCTCAAGAACCTCTGCTGTTCTCACAATGTTCTTAAACATGGCATTTGAGATTAAGCTTTTTAGATTCTCGGTATTAAAGCAATTTAGCATGCCATTATCATCATGATAAAAATATTTAAGATGAGGGCAAGCTATAGAGTACCTTTTCAATGTAGGAGGAGAGACATCTGGAACAACTTCATCTATATTTTCTATCTCACCATCTTCCTTCCAATCTTCAGAATTGCAATTCAAAACGAAATCCAGCTCTTCTAATTGAATGCACCTTTCAATCACTTCAAAAGGATTATTCCTTTCAATTTTACACTTCCTTAATCCTAATGATCTCAGATTTTTCAGCTCCGTTATTTCATCTGGTAACTCATCGATTAAGCAATTGGTCAACTCAATAATCTCAAGACCACGTAGGACTTTCAAAACAGAGATGTCACCTAATCTCCAAGCATCCAAGATAAGCGTTCGGATGTTCTTCAACGAATGAAGCAGCTTCAATGATACAGTGACATATTTATGATCACTAGCACAGTGTAAAACTAAAACTCTGAGTCTTGCCATCTCTTCAAAGATTGAGTATGAATCTTCTGTCTTCACTTTTCCTTTTATCCAAAGTACTAGAATCTCAAGCTTAGTGCCATCGAATTGACTGGGAAGGTCATCTCTACTCCAAAACAAAAATCGTATGTGTGATTTTGCACTTGTCCTTGAATCCATAATCACCTGCACATCCTTGTTTGATACCCATAAGGCCATTTCACGAACCATGCGATGCATCATTACACATGCTTCTTTAGGCTCAAACAATAATGAAGATGATTTGAGGATATCTTTTACTCTAATTGCCTTGCTTCTTGCTGCCAAACAGTTGTGAACTTCCTCAAAAAGGCCCAGTCCTACACTAAGTTTGCATAAAAGGTGTAGAGGAATTTCATAACCTTGAGGAAAGAGAGAGCATAATAGGAACACATGTTTGGCACTTCCCTCAAGTCTATCATAGCTTGATCTCAAAGCATCATAAACTTGCGTCATGCCCTCATGAACATTATGCAATGGCTCACAACGCTGCAAGGCTTCCAGAGCAATCTTCCACTCTCTCAGAGGCCAACTTTTAAATGTGGTCGCTATTGTCACAATTGCAATTGGTAGTCCTCCACACTCGCGTACGATTTCTCGTGCACGATTCATGTATTCATTGAACATTAGATCACCTTTTGTTATACCAACATGTTCAACGAAAAGATTCAATGCATCCTGGTCAGTTGTTAATGTCTGCAGTCCAATTGTCCGTTGGGATCCCATTACATCACAAACTCTTGAATTACGTGTGGTTATCAAAACACAACAATTCATGTGATTGGAGCCATGGGGAATCCCTATATCCGTTAGATCTAGCTCTTCCCACATGCCATCTAGTATTATAAGTACCCTTTTATCATAGCTAGCGATTCTTGTCCACAAAATCCTCGAGTACACTTCTTCCTTTCCCTCTTCCAAATACAAAGGCAACTGACTTGCAATGTTGAGTTGAATCTTTTTTATATCTGGAGGACTAGGCACAACAACAAAGATGACTCTTCCAAATGCTCCGGAATTTTTAACTAGTATGCCCACCTGTTTTGCTAGAGTGGTTTTACCAGTTCCGCCCATCCCATATAATCCAATCATGGAGAAATTTACGTCTTCTAGTGCGTTCACAAGTTTCTGGAATTCTGATTCTCTGCTCTCGAAATCAATAAAGTTTTGTGAATAGAATTCTATGCCTGGAAGTTCATTTCCATGTGCCACTCTACTGAAATCACCTTTCTTTATTAGGTCTGTAATCTCTCTCGTCCACTTTGCTACCTTCTTCCCTTGTCGGTAATTCCAGCAGAAATTAGGACACCAACCAAAAAGACATGTCTTCATTGGTATAGGATCCTCTTGAGAGATATAATAATCAGTTTGTCGCAGCCATTTCAGAACTTCAGCGGAAACTTGGGTCTCATTTCTCATTTTGGCCTCTTCAACTGCTTGCAGCACAATTATTCTTTTAGCATCTAATGAGCTCTTTTTTTCCTCAAAGTCTTCAACGTAAGTCTTGAATCTACATAAATAGCTTGCTTCCTTTGAAAAGTCACTCACCAATATCCCAACCAAACCACCCGCAACGCTTGACATCATCTGACAAGGATATATGAGACTACCGTTAAAGTAATTCCAATTGTCTGCGCATTAAACCATTCGACACAAAAAATGGTAACTTAAGAAGTCAAAAGCTATGGGGATATGCAATGTTTTACTGATATAATGTGCAATGAAGTTAAATGAATTATAAAGTCAGAGTCTATCCTTGTTGTCCAAAGGGGGGGGGGGGAAAGAGTCTGTCCTGTTTGCATTTTCTTTTTCCCCTTTTTTTCAGTTATGTTAGTTTTGTCATCCAAATTTTACTAATTTATATGGAAAAACGTCTTGAAAATGAACCTTTAATATATTCAAACTCTATAGTATATTTTATGGGAAAAATCATGTGTTCCTGGAGGATTATATATTCAAAACTGTATTGTACATTGTTTCCTCATCTAACCCAATTAGGAAAGATTTCTTTAGCATCAACAAGGATGGATGGACAATTATATTATACTACCTCTGGTCCTTAATATAAGACACAATCCACTTTACCTCTCACATTTATCCTTTTTTTTCTCAAAATAGTTCTTATAATCATGATAGTTTTAGCCAATATACTTAATTAGCAAGAATATTTTTTTAAAAAACAATACATATTTATTACAAATAAATAACATAATTAATTTTTTTAATATACATAAATTTGTCAATTAGCTCTTATATTAAGGACCAGAGGTAGTATTGCTTAAACGAAAATAACGTAATATTTCTTTCTGTACTTCCTGGATAGCTCTCACTGGACAAACTTAAGGTATGGCAGTATTATGTGACTTTTATGTTTCTTCCCTTACTGCATTTTGCCTTTTGATCCAAAAAATTTAAGAAATAAAAAATAAGAACGAAGAGGTGCCTAATACCTAAGCTTTTATTATGGGTCATATATTCTTTGGCCCAAATATTTGACCGTCTACGTCAAGTATTTTGTAACATATCTGTCGGCTCTACATTTGCAGTCGTTATTTATTCATGTCTTCTGATAAGGCCCTGTAACTTTTATGAGTATTCTTACGTGAAATTTGTCTGCAATAGGCGTCACATAGTGTAATAGTACGTGATTTTTATAACAAATAACGACCGAAAGTAAGACCGTCATTTTTTTTTTAAAACGAAAAAAATAAGGGGCTGACCATTTTCAAGTATATATATTTGCAGTAACTGTCACATTCAAGAATACATTTTTTTTATGCTTCAAGTATATATTATTATTTTAATAGCACAATACACAAAATAGCTTTCAAGAAGCTGACTCGTATACGCCCACATATACTTATTCGATGAATTGAATATTTATATACATCTTTGGTAATTGGTGTAATTTAATTGAATTATGATATAATGAAAATCCTTTGAGCTGGAATTTGAGCTTTAACTTTTTGCTTTCGCTCCCTCTTTCAATCTAATTGTGCCTAGATATATGAAAAAAAATGCATTGGGATCTTTTATTATTATTATTATTATTATTATTATTATTATTAGTGGAATGTCTAGGATTGGATTCCGCGCCGTTCCTATTCACTGGGAGGGAATTGGAACGAGTTTATCCTGGTTTCGTCTGGTGAGAGCCCTACACACGCACACCTATTTAGCAACGTGGGGTATGAAATTCATGACCTCCTCTAAAAGAGGAGGCATAGGGCATCAATTAAGCTATAAGCTCTTGGCAATGCTTATTATTATTGCACTATTTGCTCTGGCTATGTTATTAAAGACTACCTATAGTAAAAGAATTATTAGTGTAAAATTATTTAATTAGTCTGTTTGATAACATTTGTCAACGGCACTTTCTCCGCGCTTTGTTATAAGATCCAAATAACTAAATTGTCTAATTTAAGAAAAATATTAAAATTAGTTAAAAAGTAATAAATATATAAAAATATATAAATTTTTTTTAACTTTACCCTTATTTATTAGTGAGAGTGGTTGAGAATGAGTATGAAAAATATACTCTTCCATTTCTTAATATAGGATCTAATTGTTGAATAGATTTTGGTCCTAAATATAAAAATTATTTATCATATTTATTAATTTTTCTTAAATTATCTCTATTAATACTCCCTAAACAATGATTAAGTAAGAGAGGAAATGGGGATATTGAGGACCAAAAGAGTATTAATTAAGAGTGAAATAGGTAAACATGTGTATAATACTCAGACAAACTGAAGAGTGGATTTTATAAAAGGACAAAACTTAGGTCAAGTTAATGAGATCCATTAGGTTCAAGTAGCCTATCAGATTCTGCCACATGGATTAGTGTAACACATCAGCACTTAAGCCCCGTTAAACCACCGTTAATCAAGGTAGGGTTATCGTGCCAGGAGAGACGGCGAAACTGCAGTCTGCTAGTCGACTTGCGGCCACGGAATTTTACACAAGTTCATTGTTTTTTCTGAGTGCTCGAGGTTGATTGTTCTCTGATTTTTGTGAGGGAATGCTCAAAGTCAGCTGGGTATGGACTTGGGCATGGAATTGGGAGGTTTGTAATTGGTCAATTTAAAGCTTTGTACAATGATTTTGATTCCGTCACTCTCAAGTTTTAAGATTGTTCCATCGTTTGTTTAATTCTCTTTAGCCATGAAATTGTTATTACCTCATCTCATTCATATAAGATCTCGTTTGACTTTTATTTTGATCTTAAATATAAAACTCCAATCTATTTTATTTCTCTTTTTTTTTTTTCCTAAGGTAGTCTTTCTAATAATGGTAGTTCTAGCCGGTAAAATTGATTAGTAAGGATATTTTAGGAAAGAAAACACTTATTTATTACTAATAACTAATTTAAATTATTTTTTTAATCTACTCAACTAGTCAACTAATTCTTATATTTAGGACCAGAGCTAGTATTTATCAACAGGGTGCTCATTGTTTGATTGGGGGTTTAACCATTAGTTGTTTAAGCAATGTTATTCTACTCAACATCAGAATCTGTTATTGCAACTTCTCACTGCCTCATATATTGATGGGAAGCAACTCGCAGATGACAAAGCAACTACATGAGTGAATCTGGTGTTTAAATGAGATTTAATCATTTTTTTCAAAAAAAAAAAAAAAACTGTCAAACGTGGTGATGATTGAGGAATTTACTATATAGAAGCTTTTGGAAAGATAAAAATATATTAAACATGACGATGGTTGTTGCCGTTTGCTCAGAGAAACATGGACGCAGCCTTCCCCTAATCTTTCCAGAAATAACGATGGTTTAATAGGGATTTTGGGGTTAAGTGCTCATGTGTTAAACTAATCCATGTGGTAGAGTCTAATAGGCTACTTGAACCTAATAAACCTAATTAACTTGGCCTAAATTTTATCCTTTATAAAAAGTTATGAACCAATTAAAAAATTTGAATTTTATAATAAGAAACGGGAGGAATATTTTTATAGGGAAAATTTATTATTTGTTCAATTGGCTGATAAGAAAGGAATATCTACACACACATATATAGTAAGTAACACAAAGCAAATGGGTGCATTAAAAGATAATGGGAAAATCCAAAAAAAAAAATCTTGAATTTTAAATTTTCAAAATATTCTTGTTTACTACATTTCAATAACAATTAATTACACTTGAAAAGTAAATCGCAACATATTTTTGCAGCAATTAATGATTTATGATTTTAAAATTCAAGAGATATTTTTTTGAAATTTTTTCAAGTAAATGTGGTGGTAATGGTGGCGGTAAGCATACTGACCTTTTTTATGTTTTAATTTTTTTGGTAGAAAAACAAAGCTATCAAGCCAGAGAAAGCGAAATCCGAACACCAATAAATCAATCAGGATTAAGGATAAGAAGTCACATTGATAATAAGTAAGTGAAAAACAAACACATATAAGAAACTGAAATTAAACATGCTAATTGCGTTTTACCAACCAAAAAAAAAAATACAATTACTTAGGAGTTTTTTGATCTTTTTTTACATTAATTTTCTCATAAGATTACCATATTGCCCATAATTTGAAATTACAACCCAATAAAAAATTCAGTAGTGACAATTCTATACTCCTAATAAATAGCAATTTAATCGTTGACCAAAAAAAAAGAGTTTATGAGCAAGTTGTTCATCAAAATATAAAAACATCCGTATTTATCTTCCAGTATTTATACTAATATAAATACTACATTCGATCCTTAATATAAGAGCTCGTTTGACTTTTATTTTGATCATAAATATAAGACTCTAATTTACTTTGTCTCTCATATTTATCTATTTTTTTTAAGGTAGCCCTTGTAATAAAAATAATTGCAGCCAATATATTTGATTAGTAAGAATATTTTAAGAAAGATAATACCTATTTATTACAAATAACTAACTTAACTATTTTTTTAATCTACTCAAATTAATTAACTAAATCTTATATTAAGGGCTGGACATAGTATAATGAAAAACAAAATTCAAAAGCCAGTCAGAAAGGAATACATATACTTGCCACTTTTTGCAGATTGTATTGCAAGTTTTTGACGATGTGCCTTTGAGGAGGTCTCCCTCTTCTGTTTTTCAAGTTTAATTGTTTCAGAATACATGCAGAATGGCAAAACAATTAGCAAAGAGAAAAAGATGAAGGAAGAATCAAGATACCAAAAAATTTAAAGCACACAAATGGGTAAAATTGTTTTTCAAGTTGTTTGTCGATATTTACAAATCATTCTCATATCTCTTTTATCTCTTTCTAACAAGAATTAAATAAGAGGAAAATTAAAAAACAATCATTAAATACCCTACAAGCAACTTATATTTAGGATAAAATTTTTTCTTAAAGATGACTTATAATAATGACCAAAATTGTAGGCATATACTCCTCTGGTTCAAAATATAAGATAACATTTGCTGGAGAGGGATTTGGTTTTTTTTTTCATAAGATAATATTTCAGTTTTGTCTAAACATTAAAAAGTTTTTTTTTAAATTTTACCTCTAATATATATTCTCTTCTTTTTTTCATTTCTCATTTCTTTTACGTATCCTCTCGTTAGGAAGGGCATATATTGAAAAAATATATA